ATGCAAAACTCAAAGCTTCATACTGAAAAAACTGAGTGCAGTATATTTTTTTAAAACTTGCGGAGACTCATGAGAGTTCATGAAGGGCCTCAAGTTGAAAATTACTGTCAAATTTATTGTCAGAAGAAATTAAATAAACCATGCAACATCAAAACCAAGTCTTTGATGTCTAAAAACTTTCCACATTTCAGATGAGGACGGCACTAAAAACTAGGTAATGATATCATACATCAAAAGGTGGAGTTGCTATCAAAACTCTTTTATGTGGAGGGTTTGACTAAAAATTTAATTTGAAACACTTTAATGGATCAGCAAAGCATCATTTGAGTTTTTTATTTTATTTTTTTTATTTTGAAGTAAAGTGATCTTAATACCTCCTGAATATGAATAACAGCAAACAGCAAAAATGATTGGCGTTAAAAAGTTTGGACTTCCTAGTTTTGAGGTACAGTGAACGCAACGTGATTTGACACGAGATAAGAACAAGGGTTTATGATATTATTTTTTGGATTATATTCTTTTAATCTGTGGCAAGTTCTGACAGAAACAACTCTCCTTAAAAGAAAAAGCCAGCAAGTGTGTGGACGCTAGCTTGGCCCTTATTYTCCAGCCAGAGAGTATTTGTGATCTTGTTTGATTGACAAGCAAGTGCAGAATATGTTAATCTTTTTAGTCTGGAAATTTTCTTATTTTAACAAGTGAACTAAGTGAAACTATCTGCTCTGGAAGATTTCACTTAATTTGAGACGATTCAGAATATAATCTGGTATTTGAAAACTTATTTTAGCTGTTTAATTTTTGCATGTGTACAGCAAAGAAAAGTATATTTCTGACCCTAAAGTGAACCAACATCCAGTCCGGCAGCTTCGTCTCTGCAGCTGCTGCATAAAAGGATAAAACGCTTGTTTACCTGCAGATCAGTCTCCCAGCTTAAAGAGACATAACTAAGTGATTTTGTGTCCTAAAATTATCTTTCATTGCAGGAAAAGTCTTGTTGGGATGCTGTGGGTGACATGAGGGGTAATYCGTCCTGACAGATTGTCTGATTCTCTCCGACTCTTTTGCACCAAACAGCAGAAAAGCTTCACTATGGGATCAGAGAAGGAGTAATGATCCCTCTCATGTCACAGATTTTCTTTTCTTTTTTCTTTTCTTTGGCTCCTACTTATCTTCAGGAACTTCTGGCGATAAAACCGAACAGTTGTAGCAATGATTCTTGTCCTGCTCAGATCCTTTGATTTTATTAAATGTTAGTTTAAATAAAACTGCATGAAAACACTAATAAATATTTAGTAGATGTAATTAGCTCAAAATGCACTTTTAACTTTTAACAGAGTTTAAAAAAATCCATAAATATTCTCCAAATTTGTTTACGTCTCGACACCAGACTTTCTTAAGCTGACTGGATGTGTGCTTCACGAGAAGCACCCACTGTAAGCTTCTCAGATCATTCATCACTGCCAAAACCCTTTTAGAACTTCCCGGTGTTGGACTTGAGCAGTTTGTGCTGACAAACCAAACAATTCAACGAGCGTGTGCGAGCGCACCACTGTGAAATTAAGCTGCTCATGATTTTTGCTTCAGTGTATTTGGTTGAAAAATAAGGAAACTCCCGCTCTCCAAATACTGACATCGTTATCTCTAGTTTGTTCCACTTCACTGAAGTTTAACAGCCTCTAAAAGTTAATCAGTTGTAGATGTGCATCCAGTGATTAATTCCTGAAATTTTAAATTAATTCTGTGTAGTGCTTCAGGAAATATTTTGCTAACAGAAAAACAGGTTTGACTCAAACAGGTAATTCAAATGTCATAAGCAAATATCTCGAGTACCTCTTGTCAAACTTACTGAATTATAGTCATTTATGTGTTTTCTATGTTRAGGTGGCTGTGGTGGCCATCTTAAAATTGATTGGTGCCAAAAGTTAATCAGTTGTAGAGATACATCCACTAATTATTTCCTGAAAGTTTCATTAAACTATATCAAGTAGTTCTAGAAGTATTTTGCTAACAGAAAAACAGGTTTGACTCAAACAGGTAATTTAAATGTCATAAGCAAATATCTCGAGTACCTCTTGGAGCCAGTGTTGTAAATGACTGTCAGCTACTACCAAACCAAATTTTAACACATTATTTCTCAAACTGACTGAATTATAGTCATTTAAGTGTTTTCTATTTTCAGGTGGCTGTGGTGGCCATCTTACAATGGATTGGTGCCAAAAGTTAATCTCTTGTAGAGATACATCCACTAATTATTTCCTGAAAGTTTCATTAAAGTATGTCAAGTAGTTCTAGAAATATTTTGCTAACAGACAAGATCATCTAAAACAGGTAAAATTTTAAATTTTAAACAAAACTTAACACTTAAAACCATTTTTGTGTTTTTTTAAGGATGTTTGGCTGTGTTGGTCATCTTGGCACAAACAATATTTTGCTAACAGGCAAGCAAACACAGACTGACAACATTATCGCCCCTCGCTGTTCGACAGTGGGCGATAAGAACCGTTTTACTCTGTCAAACAAAGAAAACTCATTTTTGGAAGATTGCGACGTGTTTGAACAACAATATTCATCACACTGTCTACTTCTCCTCTTATCGTTTCAACTCTCTGCTGTACATCCATCATTGAAAAAGGAGGGGACAAACAGAGGCAACAGACAGAGAAATGAAGGGTCAATTTAAGTTCACTCATCCAGATAAGGGCAAGAAAGCAAGTCAGAAAAAAAGGAGCGCCGATGATTAATGCTGTCATTTGTATGACAGTACTGATGCCAGCTGATGCATTCAGTAGACTAGATCATTCCACCCGGTTATTACGTCTGGATGAACGGTTCCACAATGCCCCCACATCTTTTGCTGTTTCAGTATATTTAAAAAAAGGCCAGTTAATAATAATAATAATAATAAAAATGAGTTGGATGCTAAGTGAGAAGAAAAGGGTCTTGCTTCATTTGCACCGCTGAGCACACAGAAGATGCTCTGAAATGTACTCCTAACAATAAAATATTAAGAGTTTTGCCAAAGCAGGGAATGGAAAAAAAATAATGATAGGTGAATGAATGATAAAGTCTCGGATGGATATACTGACTATTGTATTGTTAATGAGTGAGCAAATGAATAATGAATCAGTCATTAGAAGAGGCTCTGAGACAACAGGARTGTGTTCGCTCTGTTTTCCAGAAGCGCCTCAGAATGAAGGATATCTCTAATATAGGCTCATCTATTTTTGATTGGCAGATCTGATTGAATTCCAGTCAGAGCCGCCGTCACCATGTCCTCATTTCAGACTCGCACGTCTCTCTCCGTGGGTAATAATGTGCTTTCAAAACATTTTGATGAGGAGGAATTTGGCCGCATCATTAAGAACGGAGCACAAACGGGTTTATTAGCCCGCTCCACTCCAAACAAAAACACTAACTGAATGACTTTGATTGGAATCATCACAGCTTTTGACAGCGTAAACACAGATAACAATAAAGTTAAATAGGCAATTATTTAAAAAAAAGTGAATCAGATCAAGTGAATTGAACAAACTATTTTAGTAAAAAAAAGTTCCTTTTAAAGTCTATTGAATCATCACCAAAAGCAGGTCTTAAATTCCACAGCACAAACTAGTACCATCAGAATGAGCCACTAGCTTTGTAGCTACTATCGCTAAGACAGTGGTGGTTCTAACACAGAAAGACCCCTAGGGTCCGTCCTTCAACGCTGGAGCAAAATCATACAGAACTTAAATTTATAACACAAACATACTTTTGTTATTTGTTTCATAATGACGCCTCCCCCGGCTGAATGTCTCCGAGGTTCTGGGGTGAATTTATGCCCTGTCCTCTTCCACTTCCCCCTTCTTCCAGAAACCTTACAAGCCTGAGAACACCATCCCAACTGTGAAACACTTACTGTATGTTGTGGGTACAGCCAGGAAGTTAAGGCTCGGACGCAAATGGGTCTTCCAAATGGACAATGACCCAAAGTATACCGCCAAACTGGTTGCAAAGTGGCTCAAGAATAACAAAGTCAGTGTTTTGAACTGGCCATCACAAAGCCCTGATCTTAGACCTGTTGAACATTTATGTGCAAAGCTAGAAAAGACATGTGCGAGCAAAGCGGCCTACAAACATGGCTCAGTTCCACCAGTTCTCTCAGGAGGAATAGGCTAAAATTCCTGCCAACTATTTTGAGAAGCTTGTGGATCAATATCCAAAAACATTTCACCCAAGTCTTACAGTTTAAGGGCAATGGTACCAAATAGTAATGAAGTGTATTTTGACTTTGACTTTGAAGAATGTAATAAAATGCCAAAGCAAATACTGTAGAAAAATTTTTGGTAATCCTAATTGACCTAAAACGAGAAAAGATTATTTTGATTTCACATCAGTGTGAACATATGGTTATGGTTAGTGAGGACGGATATAGGATCCATATGAGCTGTGGCCTCGTAAGTGGGCCCATTGCTCTCCCCAAAAAGACACTGGTTTTTATTTGAACCTTTGCATCCATTGGATGAAGGACACAAGGTTGGAAACACTCAGTGTTCTGAGCTTCTCAGGATCCATAAAGGGGTCCCCAAGAAATCTTTTCCTTTGACTGCTCAGAGCAAAGCAGTGGCCTAAGTAGTGCAAAGAGGTCTCTAATCCAATGCTACAGGCATCATCCAGACCATTGTCATGGAGTACCATCTCCATTTAGTGTTAGTTGAGCAGATTGTGCCCAGTTAGAACTCCAGCCAGTGTACTTAAGAGTTTTCCTTGCCAGGGAGATGAGAGCTTTCCCAAATCTTAGATTTGGGCCGTTAATCAGTTCCTGTGCCTGTCTACAGTCCGCCAACTCTGTCCAGCAGATTGAGTGTTGACGTCTAATCCAGGCCTGTAGGGCAGTCCTACAGACTGTTGTTGAAATGCTTAAAAGCTAAAAGCTGTCAAAATAAATGTTTGCGTAAAACTCCTGCAGTGGCAAAAACGTGCCAAAAAATAATAAGCTTGTTAGATTAAATTCAACTCACCAGGTGATCTGAAGGTCCAAGCCTCATCGTCATCAAAGTGTGTATCCCCGGCTGTGAACCTCTCGCCAGGGAAAAAAGCGTGCGCTACTGTTCCACCAGGACCGTCGAAGGGGTACCCATCGTTGTGGTCAGCCTTAGTGAAGTCGATCTGAATGTCTGCGTTGCTGCCGGCCACCTCGTGGAAGTTCAGGGGTGCGATGTCGCTCCAGACCTTCAGGGCGTAGTACATGAGGGCTCGGACCGTGTCCCTGCCCAGCAGGGCTGAATCCTTCGGGTAGGTCCTCATTCTGAGACAGAGATGGGAGAGAGGAATGTCTGAAATAAAGGGTTGGGAAGTGATGGGAGGGTTGAACAGAGGCTGATGAGGAAAGAGGATGAGGAGGTAGGAAGTGGTGGGCAGCGCTAATCCAAAAATTAGCTCRGCAATTTCTAAAGTGCTTAWAAAAATATTTAGGTCCGCGACTTCAAAAGCGCTTATGCATAGAAAAACTAGCGAAAGCTAATTTTAAAGCACAAGTTCAATTTGATACTTACTAGCTGACATCAATTCATGTACAATATATGCACAACACTGCCAACTAGCGGTGTATGAACTCTTTTACAACTTAATTCTACAACCGCCAATTGCTGGGGATGTGATTTCCTGAAACAGACCTTTAGCTCCTGGTGTAAAAATTAAAAAGTTGTTGGTGATTGTTAGTTCGGCTGATTCTTTAAAAAATTGTTGAGGATTGCTAGTTCGGCTGCTTTTTTGTCTTTTTCTTTTGTTTGTTGTAGATTTTTCATCAAAGAAGCATCAATAAAGTAATTTTAAAACTGTTTCTTGGAAAACTGAAGCGATGCATTCTGGGTACATGACGGATTTGATTTGTGACGGGAAACGAAAGCATGGAGTACAGGAAACTATCTTCACTTCAAAATAAGAGATTGGATTTTAAAGTTTTCCATGAAGTTGCTCCAGTTGARCACTAGATGTCTGTCTTCATCAGCATAACATCTTTAAATCATTTCTGAGTCTCTAAACCCYTTYGCCGATTGCTTCGACCAATTACMTCAAGTATTGAGCTCCAGCGTTTAAACTCTTTTTTTAAAAAACGAGCTCCGATTGTAAAGTAAAATAAATCAATACATAGAAAATTTTAGTGTGGATTACAAACGTTAACTGTTTTTGCTATTGCCTTCCTGCTATGTAAGCAGACATAAAGCATTGTGGGAAATGAGAACCCTGACCCAAAGCAACAGTCAGCAAGGATGTATACCTTCCCAATAAGTGTGTTTATCATGGAGGAGTGTTGTTGGACAGATCARGTATGTTGTGATTCATTGACAGCTATACCTTCCGCTGTTCAAGATAATGATGACTGGTAGATAATTAGTTATRAGRGGTACTGCATTTTAATTTWAGAAAGTTTTAGAAATTTTAGAAATCCGCTTATGWATTACAAAAATTAGTAAGACCGCTAAAGCACAAATGAAATAATCGGGTCCGCAATTAGCGGATTTGCGCTTTAGCGGGCTGGTGCCCACCACTGGAGGCAGGAGACAAAGACTTTGTGRTACACCAGAAGTTATCATTAATGGTTAAACAGTTTTTTCACAAGGGCATTACAATTAGAACACGATGGAAAAAAAGCTTCACATAGAGCTGCAAAATAAAGATTTTTTATGCTGCAGCATTTAAAAAAAGCATTAAACATCTGTCTGTCTGCTGCAAACTCAAACTGCAAGTATTTCCTTCAACAGCAAAACAGGCACACAAAGATAATACTTATATGTTCTAGAAAAAAAWATATATCTGCCTTATATAATTTGGCTTATAGATGAAGAAAGGAATGGACAGTGGAGTAAAGAAGTGGTAAAAAAAAACAGAGAAAATCAAATCAAAAGGGAGTGGATTACAGCGGAGACAGGCAGCAGAAAAGCAGAGTGGAAGTGGCACTGAATATATAAAAAGCACAAAAGCTTAAAGGTCAACTGCACAATGTTTGCCACTGGGACAGACCTGCACAAAAAGTCCTGTTTGCATATTTTCTGTAACTCCGTGGATTTTAGTATTTCATGCTCAGGTGCTTCTGCTGCTTACATTTAATGTGCTGAGCATACAGGGTGCCTTTTCAAGAGATTAWGGCACTGGCTTCTGGGCATAACTCGCAAGTTTATTTTCATGTCTTTTCCAGTTTTTTTCCCATTAGTTTGTCAGAATTCCTCACACCACCTTAAGAACTCTCCAGCCTTTTATTGCTATTTTTGTTTTTTGATTTCTACAACAGAAATAAACAACCACTCAGACATCACGCTACACGAGCTCCTCGGGTATATTTCACCCATTTTCTCATGTTTTCTTTCCACTCATCAGTTTTTACATCCTCATATTGCACATATTTGTTTCCACAGGATGTGCTTGCCTTCTTTCTCCACACGCTTCGTCTAAAAAAGCAAGGAGCAATGTGGTCCCTGCAGGCTCCTGTAGGAAATTTAATCAGCGACTGAAACTGAAGGAAATGTCAGTGGAGTGACCTCTGCCTGAAATAGGTTGCTGTCAGCCAAGAAATGCTTGAAGTGAACTGAGAGTGATTCTTGATTTGATATAAATACGTCATGAACAAGGGAAGGCCTACTGTAGCATTCCTTGAAGGAATGCATATCACCCACCACCTCTTATGCCAAAGTTTTATGTTGGGAAATTACAAAGTTTTGGTCAAACTTAATAGTGTTGGATGGAATCTCATGCAGCATGTGCTGTAAATAGTCATACCAAACTTTAGCTCAATATTTGTWAAACTGACTGAGTTATTGCCACTTCTGTATTGGCTAATGTTGATTACTAGAGGCCATATTAAATCAACTTGACCCCAGCACTCAATCAGTTGTAGATATAAATTCAAGTATTGCTATCATAAAGTTTTCTTAAAATCCAATTATGTGTTCATGAAACACACTGCCTGGCCAAAAAAAAGTTGCCACCAAAAAAACAAACAAACAAAAAAAAAAGGGTCACACACTCTAATATAATAGCTTTGACTATGGCACACATTCACTGTGGCATTGTTTGGCCAGGCTTCTGCAGTGTCATCAAATTTACTTCCATCCATTGCTGCATTCATTTTTCACCAAGATCTTGCATTGATGATGGTAGAGTCTGACCACTGCATTAAGCCTTCTCCAGCACATCCCAAAAATTCTCAATGGACTCTGTGGAGCCAATCCATGTGTGAAAATGATGTCTCGTGCTCCCTGAACTCTTTCACAATTCCAGCCCCACGAATCCTGGCATTGTCATCMTTGAATATGGCCGTGCCATCAGGGAAGAAACAATCCATTGATGGGATAACCTGGTCATTCAGTATACTCAGGTCAGGTGACCTCATTCTTTGAGCACAAACTGTTGTTGWACCTGGACCTGACCYACTGCAGCAACCCCACATCATAGACCTTAGTTAAATCCAGGGYGCAACCTTTRTTTTTTGGCCAGGCAGTGAATTTTGCTAACAGACAAACAGGATCGACTACTAACAATTATACCTGGAGTTTAAAGCCAAGACTTTTGCTCAATGAGTGTGAAACACTCTCAGCTTCAAACACACCACATTTTGGCATAAAATATCTGTAAACTTGAATAAATTACAGCTCTAGTTGCTTTTTCTGAGATCAGTTGGATGTTGCAGCCAAACAAAGGTTAAATATTCAGACAGGTCAGAGGTGGGCAGTGACACAGTGAAATTATTTAAGTACAGTTTTTGAGAATTTGTACTTGAGAAGCAAATTTTTGAAAACTTATTACTTTCCCTTAGACATAAAGTACTTGAAAGAAATAACTAAGTAAAAGTAAATATAGAAAATTATTTTGGTAAAACTTATTTTCACTGATAAGAAACATAGTGAGGTAAAACTGCTCACAATAATCAAGAAAGTAAGTGGAACCAGTAAATTCCACATTTTTTAGAGTGCAGAAACAGCTCTTTTCATGGTAAGTTTTCTCACATTTAAATCAGTAATGTGTAACAGTGTTGAATTTTAAAGTAAAGAAATAAAAGTAGTATTTTTATGTTTTGAATCCAAAGACCCTGTCACACTAGACAACAAATGCTAACTCATGAAACATTTTTGTGTTTAAATTGCTAATAAAAGTTATATGTTAGACCAATTTGTTCGAATTACACTTCCATCTTCAATATGGATGTCTTTAAAATGTTAAGTTGGCATAAGTTGCGTAGTGTGACAGGGCCTTTACAGAGTAAAAGTAAAATTTAGAAATAATAATAAAAATACTTGGTAAGATTACAAATCTTAACAAAAAAAAACATAAGTACTGTAACAAAGTAAATGMACTTATACACCTCTGCTTCCATTCCACTACATTTTAATTATACAATCACACTTCTTGCTCCACTACATTTCTCTGAAAGCTTTCATTACTTGTTACTTGTTTTGGACAGGTTTSTGTAGTTTGRCTTTATTTCYTTCCACTGACACACTGTAAAARTACACACTAAACCCTTATATAGTAGGTTGTGATATGCAGCTTTAAACTGGCTGCAAGTCTTACTAGTGTTGCCTTATGTATGCATGCTTGGATCAGACAGGTGGTAATGATAGCCATGCTTGCTGTACATGAGATTGAATCTCTACCAGAGCATCCGTGGACTGATCCTAAACCTACTGTATGTCTGAGGGGGTTGGGAAAAAAAGCTGTTTTTAAGCGTTTACAGTGYACAAACTTAATCACAGCCTACAAAAATTTGCCATGCGACCTGAAAAAGCATGTGAAGAAATGTGAAAAGTTTTTCACTTTGACTGTTTAGTCTCTTTGTTCTAATAATGGATTTCTACTAAATGAACTTTGTTAAATTGTTTTGTACAAAGTAAAAAAAATGTTATAAAAACTTCAAAATTTTAAGTACTTTCAATACTTGAGTTTTTTTGAAGGCACATACTTCAGATAATTTTACAGAGCTACTTTTACTTTTATTGGAGTAATACTTGACCAGTAGGATCAGTACTTTCACTCAAGGAAACAAAGTAAGCACGTTGTCTTCTACTAGATATAGATCCACATCAAATWATTATTTCCTGAGTGTTTCACTACAATCTGACCAGTGGTTCATAAAATATTTTGCTAAAAAATGAACGAAAGTCACAGGCACACATACATTGCTGCCTAGCCTTTGGTGCTGGGCAATAAGTTACAAAGTATGTGCAGGAGATGTTACTTATGGAAATTCAGAAAATTAGTTTAAAACTACTATTGTAACTGTGTAATGTTTAAATACTGAGTGCATTTAATTTA